GCTGTAGTGAGGCTTACCTTAGAGGAGGTACAACTCTAGGGTTTTGCATATGTATCCCCCTCATTCCTAGTTCACACCATTCCTCTCATTCAGATTTTAACAGTTCATGCCAGTGCTTTCCGGATCACCAAAAAGGAATAGCCTTTCCATGCTGGTTTGAAGGCAATCTTGTCAACAGCCGACTGGCCTCAGAGCTACCCGAACGTGATGCGGCTGTGGGCAGCCGTGGCGATGTTGTCGATCAGCATGGTGGAGTGCGAATGACGGCGCTCTCACTAGAACATTAACAAGAGGTGATAGAGGACCAGCCTTTGCAACGCGAAGTTAGCTGTCCTTATGTCGTTGAGCATGCTGGAGTACGACGCTGAGTGGAGGGAATTCGTGATCATGTAGCGCATCACGTAGACGCGGTGACCAACAAATCGCAAGGCGACGGCACTGGATGCTGCGAAGGAGTGTGGTGCCGGCAAAGGCCGTGTGCAAGAGAATCCCGACCAAGGACGATGACTCAGATAGTGGCTTTAGTGCTAGTGAAGATGAGGAGGATGATAGTGGCATTTATATATGTAGAGGTGTTTAATAGAGAAACACAATCGCTTATCTCTATTTTTGAATGAGCAAAGATCCCCTAGACGATGAATACAAATATACTAATTATTGTTATGAAATATCTCACCATACATGTGTTCTTAAGTGGCAAGCCATTCAAACTAGCACTGACAAATTAGGGTGAAATTCTCAGCCAAACTGATTCATTGGGTTGTTTCATGAATGCTAGTTCGTAAGTGGACTCGATGTAGAACAGTGGGTGCGCTTGTAAAAGAATAACAGATGCCAAATTAACTTGGGTACACATTTAGGAGGCGCGTCACAAAAGCCTCGTGTCGCAAAAGACTAGATGCAGTGCGGTGGAAACGTTATCTAATTAGGTGTAATGCGGTGCAGAGTGGTACACTGCCTTTGTGATGCCTAAAATTGTGACGCATCTTGTCCCGAATGTACCCTTATAATAAACACATGCAATCAGCCATGCTTCCAAACCAAAAGGATTTCTGAAACAATTACTCCACTTCGGACTCCAACCCCCCCCTGTTGTGCTAAAGCAACCAGACAGCAGCTACGGTATTGCCCGCACCAGTCTCTGCACCTACATATAGAACATCATGGATCCCATCCCTTGTCGCAAAGGGAAAGTTTATGTGATTGTAGTGTAAACTGGCATAAAATGGCAGATTGTATGATTTGCAGCATAAACTTTTGTACCAACTCTTATGTTTCAGCCTAGCTCACAACCAAGGCCCCGATCACGGACCTCATGACGGCATCCCACTTTGGGACACTTGTTTCGGCAATGAGTGAGTCAGAAGGGGAGAGAGGGGAGTGGCAGGAGGGAGAAAAAAAAAGGGGGGGGGAGAGGGAAATAGTGAAAGGCAATTGGTGCACACAAAGTAAGCAGCGGAAGGAGGAAAGAAGCTGGTGCAAGTGTAAATCGGATATCTGGGCATTTAAATCACTCACCGCCGCTCCAATATTGGCACTGCCTGAAGCGCAGCGTGCCGTCATCCATGTTGTACACCCAGTATCGTGCCGTGTACTTGCCAACGATCTCCTCGAGAATCGGTGTGCATGCACCAAGGTTGGCGCGTACAATGTAACGAAATTCATTGCCCATGAATGTTGTACTAGCTGCTCCCACTGTAGAATTGCCCCCTGGATATTGTGTGGCAAGAGGGGCAGCAAGTGGGGCACAATTGGAGTGGGCTGTGAATGCGCTGCGCCGGGATGCGAGGTCTTTGGCGGGAATGTGAACAAGTGAAGTGCGGATGCTGTCTTGCTGCAGCCACCATAGCATAGCAGGAAGTGCCCTCAAGCTGCCCCATGCAGGCCTGGTTGTGAGACGCATGTTTGGGTCATCCAATAATGTGAGACGTAAGGTCAGAATACATGAAGTAATTCACATGCAATAAGCTGCATGCAGTAAGGCACATGCAGTAAGGCACGTGCAGTAAGGCACATGCAGTAAGGCACGTGCAGTAAGGCACACGCAGTAAGGCACACGCAGTAAGGCACACGCAGTAAGGCACACGCAGTAAGGCACACGCAGTAAGTCACACGCAGTAAGGCACACGCAGTAAGGCACACGCAGTAAGGCACATGCAGTAAGGCATCCTGTCCCAGGGAAGTGGTATCTCACCTTTTATGCAAGCGTCTGGGGTCATGCCATAGCCGGCAGGACACACACAGTAAAGGAATTCTGATTCTTGTGTCGTAATAATCATGTGCGAACTCGCAGGTGGCTCCAAAGGGGCAGCTGCCACATTGCGAGTCTGAGAGAGGCAGTAGAGGCAAGAGAGGATGCGGCAGGGCAGTCTCATTGAAGGTGGGCAAGTTGGGAAACGCCATTGATTGTATAACAAAGGCAGGAAGTAAGGATCAATGCTGTGGTAAATCAGCATGAAATCACACCGTTCAGTGACAGGCCCATGTGCGTCACACCATGCTAGCACATGCCTCATCCAGTGCTACTCACCCCATTTGAACACAGAAGCACCTTCCAAAACAGGAGCACCTTTGAACACAGAAGCACCTTTGAACACAGGAGCACCTTTGAACACAGGAGCACCTTTGAACACAGGAGCACCTTTGAAAATAGGGGCACCTTTGAACACAGGAGCACCTTTGAGCACAAGAGCAATTTGAAGGACTGAGTTTCAAAAGCAAGGCATGCCCTCTGTGTTGCACCCCTTTGACTCAGAAGACGGCGTGAAGTCAGCGCTGCAACTACAGGATGGATTTCCGTTCGCATCCCTCGTGCAGTTGCCGTCAGGCCCACACTTCACTGCATCACAGTTGTCCGCAAAAAAAGAACCAATGCAAGTGGAAGCATATCATGTTAGCAGGAAACTATACTACCCGGATCTTGACAATCAAGAGTCACAACGTCAAGTATGGAAGCAATTCAGTAACTTTTGGAAGGAAATCAAGTGGTAGGGAGGCCAAGTGTCAAGGACTGGGTTTGAAACGCAAAGCGCGGCGTCTGTGTTGCACCCCTCCAACTCACCAATGCAAGAGAGCTTGTCAGAAGACGGCGTGAAGCCAGAGTTGCAACTACAGGATGGATTTCCATTCGCATCCCTCGTGCAATTGCCGCCAGGCCCACACTTCACCGCATCACAGTTGTCTGCAGAAAACAAGACCCATGCATGTAAAAGGATAACATGAAAACAAAAGAATAAACACCCAGACCTTGTCAAAGGTCACAAAGTTTTGTGTTCATGCAATGCTGTTACTCTTGCAAGAAATTGTGAGCAAGCCTAAGTTCCAGGGACTCGGATTGAAACACAAGGCACGGCCTTTGTGTTGCACTCCTCCAACTCACCAATGCAAGAGAGCTTGCCAGAAGACGGCGTGAAGCCAGCACTGCAACTACAGGACGGATTTCTACTCGCATCCCTCGTGCAGTTCCCGCCAGGCCCACACTTCACTGAAGCACATAAGTCTGCAAGGAAAGGAAACAGAAAAAAGGGAAGGATGATGAGGTTTTGTAAAGAAGAGGTATAAAAGAAAGGAGTCCAGGAAATGTTGCAACATGAGATGATGAGAATCAAGCTGAGGACGTAAGAATCCTAGGTGGGTGGTCAGATATATTACAAAAGTACTTGAGTAACAAGGAACGAAAGAACCGTGGGTCACCTATACTAAGATATCGTGCGATCAATGGTGCCTCTCACCCCCTTGCAACACACAGGTATGGCTGTCTGGATTTTTCCTACCAGTAAGCACTGTAAATGAAAATGAGGTTTAACGTTCATGGGGTTAAAACAAACAAAATCAGGAAATGATGCAGAGCATCATGAAGACTATTTTATAATAAATTTGCAAAACATTATGCAACTCATATTGCTATGCTCACACCAAACCTTTCCTTTGTAGCAACTGAGCACGGTCATACCTCTAAATAGTCACGGAACAAACCTTTCCTACGTAATCAAATTGCCATTGCTTAATATTGCAATAGAGTACGCTCTGACATGTGTCATGGTGTTAGCTAGTCGATTGATCGACCATGTTTAGAGCAAGTCCTGCAAATCAAGCTGAGCAACTCAAGTGGAGTAACTCAAGCGGAGCGACTCAACCAGCTGAACTCACCAACGCATGTATCATTGCCTGGAAGCCTCTTGAAGCCACTAACGCAATCACAAGTGGTGTTTCCATTTGCATCCTTCTTGCAGCATGAGATTACCATGCAAGTCACCAACTTGCACTTGTTTGCCATGCACGTGGGTTTGATGAACGGAAATGGAGGTGGGATGGAAGTGGGGGGGTGGAGATGTAGGCAACACAAATGCTTTGAGCTTCGAAGAACAACAAGTCACCATTACAAGTGCTATTAAAAATCCTTTCAAAGGCCTTGTCAAATGCCATTGAAAAGCCTTTCAAAGGCCTTGGCAAGTGCAAAGGAACAGGACGCTTCCTGTTTCTGTGACGCAAGTGATGCAAGAAAAGGTGTGTTGGGCTGAGATTGGTCACATTTGGGAGCTTGCTAAGCAGCACCCGTTTCTTACCACACCCTCAATTATGATGATTTGTTAAGAGCTATAAAAATCTCTTCAGCAGTACAAAGTAATTCTGAAGCAAAATGGGCATGCTCAGGTGACATAGAGGCAGAAAGTGCAGGAGACTGCAGGGGGTCACGCGCGCACTCACTGTCAACACACTCACCACACACCACTGGAAGCATCAAAGAGCCCGTTCTCTTACCCACCAAGAGAGCAACGCTGTTGGCAAATTTTGAGTCGACTCAAAGTCACCTCACTGCCAACACACTCACCACACACCACTGGAACCATCAAAGAGCCCGCTGTCTTACCCACCAAGAGAGCAACGCGGCTGGTGCTCTGCTTCTGATTCTCCCTTTTGCCCCCCATACCTCGCGCTTTCCCCTCTCCCCTCCCGCCTTTCCCAAAATGAAAGCCTCGAACGACCAAGCAACAAGGCCTTTACTTGCCGCTTCCTTCTCCTCCCCTCACGTCCTCCTTCCCCGCCTTACCCACCCCTCCCGTCCCTCCCACCCCTCCCGTCTCTCTCGTCCCTCCCACCCCTCCCACCCCTCCCATTCCTCCCGTCCCTCCCATCCCACCCGTCCCCCCCCCACCCGCCCCCCCCTCTCCCGTCCCTCCCTCCCGTCCTTCCCGTCCCTCCCATCCCTCCCGTCCCTCCCACCCCTCCCGTCCCCCCCATTCCTCCCATCCCTCCCACTCCTCCCATCCCTCCCACTCCTCCCATCCCTCCCCCCCTCTCCTCCTCTCACTCCCCTCCCCTCCCTCCCTCTCCTCCCCTCCCACGCAAGTCTCACACACTGAAGGTCTCCGGTTCGATTCCGGGTTCGGACATACCTTGGCAGGTGCCATTCAGCACAGCAAAGTCATGGTTGCATGCACAGGTGACTTTTGAGTCGACTCAGAAGGCAACAGGAGAGACGAGGTATCTCTAGCAGCGTACCATGGCGAGTGCCATTCCTTGCAACAAAGCCCGGGTTGCATGCACAGGTGACGCCCTTGCTGTCACTCGTTGGCATGCACGTGGAGTTGCTCGGACACGTGGCGTGCTGGCAGGTGATGTCTGCCATGGGGGGCAGAACGGATGTGTGCAGCGCGGCAGGTGGAAACCATAGGCATGGAGTTGATGGAGAAAATGCTGCAGAGCGCTCGATTTTGCAAAGGAGATGCTGTGTACGGCAAGGTGGCATGGTGGCATGGTGACATGGTGGAAAAAGGAGGCAAGGAGGCAGAAGTGAGCAGGGCAAGGAGGAAAGGTGATAAGGAGGCAAGGGGGCAAAGGGGGAATGTGCCGAGAAGGCGCGGAGGAATGGTGACAAGGAGGCAAGGATGCACGCACCAGGCTTGCAGGAAACAGAAACCCATCGGGATATCATCCTTCTGCTGCAAGGACGTCAGAAGCACATTCAGATCAGACGATGGGAGCACGTTAGATCAAGCATTAAGAAAACGTTCAGAGCAAATGCTAGAAACACTTTAGGGAGGCACAACCCGAGGCACGACAGTGGCATTTGATAGGAGGACACACCCACCCGAGCACATCACTACTCCCATCACCCACCAGCCCCCATCTCCCACCTGACCCATGACCCACCTGCCCCCCCCACACCTGCCCTGCCCCCAACACCCACCTACCCCCACGACCCACCTGCCAGGCTGCCCCCACGACCCACCTGCCAGGCTGCCCCCACGATCCACCTGCCAGGCTGCCCACACGACCCACCTGCCAGACCACCCACCTGGGCACGTTGAAGAATCTGTGCAGGCCGGCGTATTGCGGCTTCAGCACCTCATCCAGCACCTTGCCCTTGCAGGCAGGGTTGGCAAAGAACTGTAGCTCCTTGCACGCCGCACCCCCATAATCCGTGCCCACTGCGGCGGGCTCCTTCCCACGCGAACTCCCCCCACCCTTGCTGCGGCCTTTGTTGCCGCCTGCGAGCCCGTTCCACCACACCTGCACGCCGCGCTCCGCCTTGAGAGCCCTGAGCGCGGCTTTGGGGAAGCTGAAGCAGCGGAGGGCGTCAAAGCTGACGTTGAGGCTGACGCCCGACACCGTGAGCTGGGTGCCCACCGCCACGCTCGCGTCTACCGCCCCGCCTGGGCTGCCAACCGCAACGCCCACCCCCACACCCACTCGCTTGCTTGCATTCTTGCTTCCCGTGATCATGCTCTGGATTCTGAGGCTTCTGGCAAACATAGTAGGCTCGCCGCTTGCGCCGCCGCCGCCGTGCACTCGCGCGCGCCCGTTGAGGCGATCCGTGCCGCGCTCGCCTGCCGCCGCGTGAGCAGTGGCGATCGCTGGATGCAGAGGGGCGGTTTAGGGTGGAAGGGTGAGATGGAGGGAGGGAGCGAAAGGGTGCGAGGAGGGGCAGAACGTCGCGCGTCTCAACATGACAGAAAGCGGAAGCCGAAGTTAGGCAAGAAGGAATGGCTCGCCGCAGATCACGGCAAGGACGAGGAGAAGCACTACTTGAAGAGAAGAAGTACTACAGGAGAGGAGAAGTGGACATGGCGACTCTTAGCTCACCGCAGATCACGGCAAGGACGAGGAGCGGAAGCAGCGCGGCACGTGAGGTGTAACGGATCAGCTTATTAATATGGCATTTACCCATATATAGATAGGTTCCAGTACAAAACAGAGAATAGCAGCTCCTGAAATCTACGAAGTCTGGAGAGTGCTGGGAAATGCAGTAACAAACTCTGGAAGGTAACTTGAGAGAGAGAGAGAGAGAGAGCAATCCTATTTCCCAATTGATTAGTTGGGGATAGGAAGTGAAGAATGAACCAGAATGGCCCAGACCCCTTCCTACAACCCCCTGGGGTGCAACCACCTTCCCCATGGCAAGGAGGGGTGCACCTCCTTGGGCTTTGCCCATGTGGCAACAAATGAGATCCTCAACCAATTATGTTTTAGACAGCAAGGATATGAAATGCATAGCTATCACAAACCTGTGTTTGATGTTTATTGGTTGTGTTTGCAGTGAGCGGCGGGAATGCTGTCGACTCACTTTTGGGGCTGCTTTCTGATTGGTTGAATTGGTGCTGAGTTGAACTTACGTGGGTTGTGTTTTGAACCAACTCAAACCAATTACGTAGGTTCAATTTTGCAGGAATGATCTGATTGGTTGGTTTTCCAATCAACCCCAAATTTCACGCAAGTCTCGCTTCCCTTCCTTTTCCAACCAATCACATTTCCACCCCTTTCCCCCTGCACTGCTGGTTCGATGTATCGAGACCAGGGGGGGGTAGGTACGGATGTTACACTCCTCCCCCTCCAGCTGGCAACGTCCTCGTTGCCGTGGGGTGCTTCTTAGGACGATTGCTGCGAGCACGACGAACCACATTACGACCAGTGTCAACACCATCCGCTGGTTGTGGGAGTGCCCGTTGAGCCAGGTCTTCCATGTAGGACTGAACCGCAGTATCAGTCAAATGTTCTTCCGGCTCCCATTAGTTGTGTTCAGGCCCATGGCCTTTCCACTTAATGAGGAACTCTCGTACAGTCTTGCGGCCGCGTTGTCGATCACGATGCAAAAGCACTCGTTCGACTTCATAGTATAGTTCCTCCCCTAGGACGATTGTTGGTGGTGGTAAGTACTTGCCTTCTGCAACGTACTTACTTAACAGAGACACATGGAAGACAGTGTGAATCTGAAGGGTATCAGGTAGCTTGAGCTTGTAAGCTACCACACCAACTCGTTGAACCACCTCGAAGGGCCCAATCCAGCGAGGGAACAACTTTCTCGCAACAGGGATCTTAAGCTGAATATTCTTCGTGCTTAACAAAACCTTGTCTCCAACGAAGAATGAGACTTCCCGGCGTTTCATATCGGCATAGGATTTTTGCCTTTGTTGGGCTAATTGCAGCCAACGACGTGCTGAATTTAGGGCCTCTCGTTGCTTGCCCACAAAATCCTTTGCGGCATGTAATTTCAAACCGCCGATCCCATGCGTAGCAGGTGTTGTGGGATGCCAACCACAGTTCAGGATAAATGGGTTTTCACGTGTGCTATCATGCACTGCGTTGTTAACCGCAAACTCGACCATGGGTAACAACTCGTCCCAATTGTCCTGTGTTGGGCTTATGAAGGAACGAAGCACCAGCTCGAGAGTGCGGTTAGTGGTCAGTAGTGACCACGAACTCTACCCCTTCCAAATAACATCGCCATGTTCTTAGCGCATGCATGACAGCCAACAACTCTTGTTTGGTAGTCGTGTAGCGTTGCTCTGCCGGGGAGAGTTTTCTACTCTCAAATGCCACAGGGCGTCCTTCTTGCAGAAGTACTGCTCCAAGTCCCAATGTTGAGGCGTCTGTAACTACCTCATATGGATTCTGTGGGTTTGGTAACACCAAAACTGGTGCGTTAGTCAATTTATGCTTGACCTCTTCGAAGGCCTTCTAGCACTGTGGAGTCCACTCCCATGCACACCCTTTCCGGGTCAATGCCGTGAGGGGAGCGACTATTGTGGAATAATTCTCTAAGAAGCGACGAAAATAATTCGCCAGGCCCAGGAATGATCGAACTTGGCCAACGTCGCGTGGGACGGGCCACTCTTGGACAGCTGCTACCTTCATGGGGTCCACTTTCAACCCGTTATGCCCCACCACGTGCCCCAAATACTCCAGCTCACGTTTGTAAAAATGGCATTTGTGAATCAAGAAAACAGGAATGAAATGACTAAGTGAAAGTTGGGTACAAAAGGCAAACCCTAGGCAACTGTACCCCATATGTGCTACCCCACTATAGCCTACAGTAGCTATGTCATATAACTCTGACACACCCCCATAGGCAAAGTGGGGGAGAACAAGGGGTCACAAGACCAGTCAAGCAAAGCAAAGCAAGCTCAGGGTGGATCACAAAGTCACCACACATTCCGAGCACAAGTTCAAGGCCACAAGGCCAGTTCACATGCAGGATTACATATATATATAAGGCTAGACAAGTAAGAGCAGGAGTATATATATATGCAACAGTACAAACAAGGTCAAGAGGTGAGCAAGTGAGGCAAGGTAGGTACAAGACCCAGCTGAGTACAGAAGCGCTGATGATCACAAGGCGCAAGTGCCTTGGTGAAGATATCAGCAGTGTTGGCCTCAGAGGCCACGTACGCAAGTCTCAGCTGACCACGCTGCTGTAGCTCACGAGCAAGGAAGTAGCGAAGAGCAATGTGCTTCGTTCTGTGCTCCAGTCTCTGCTCTCGACACAAGGCCAGCATGGCCTTGTTGTCTACGTAGAGCACTGGAGGAGAACGAGGCGGCTCTCCGAGGTCAGTCAGCAGGTAGGTGAGCCAGCGAAGCTCCTGTGCAGCCATGGCCCCGGCGTAGATCTCAGCCTCACAACTGGAGCCGAGAACAGAAGACGAGCGAGTAGCCCGCCACGAAACAGAGCCGGAACCAAGGCTGAAGGTGTAACCCTGTGACGACCGCTGCGTAGCCTAGTCGTCAGCCCAAGAAGCGTCTGCGTGTCCAGTGAGGACCACTGGACTCTGCCCTCCAAGCACAAGCCCCATGCCCGAGGTACTGCACAAGTAGCGCAACACCCTCTTCGCTGCAGCCATGTGCTCCGGTCTGTGTCTCCCAGGAGCAACATAGCGTGCAAGAATGCTAAGAGAGTATGCAAGGTCAGGTCGTGTGCAGGTCATCAGGTACATGAGGCAGCCAACAAGCTCTGGGTACGGGCCACTCGACTCTACGGACTCATCCGAAGGCAGAGCTGAGAGCGAGTGGCGAGTAGGCAGAGGAGTGGCCTGAGGCGAGGAGTACGTGAAGCCGAAGCGCTGAAGGACCTGCTGCACCATGTGTGACTGAGTCAGGGTAATGGTGCGGCGTGCTCTGTCCCGGGTGATCTGCAAGCCAAGGTAGCTGCGCAGTTCACCCAGGTCTGTGCACGCGTGTCTCTTCTGCAGCTCGGACTTCACGTGGGCGAGTCCAGCAGTGTCAGCTGTGGCAAAGACCAAGTCGTCGACGTACACGAGGATGTAGAACGGCTGCAAAGAAGTGTGGGTGCGCAGAAACAGCGACGGGTCGGCAGTAGAGGGAGCAAACCCAAGAGCCGCAAGTGTAGTCCTCAGTGTGTCGTGCCACTCACGCGGTGCCTGGCGGAGACCGTAGACTGATCGCCGGAGGCTCCACTGGGTGCCAGGAGGAAAAGACCCAGTGAAGCCAGGTGGGCGACGCAGCCAGATCTCCTCGTGCAGGCTGCCCTGCAAGAAAGCAGTGCTGAAGTCAAGAGAGTGCAGCTCGTAGTCGCGGTGAGCAGCTATGTGCAGCAGTACCCGAAGAGTGGTCATCTTCGGGGTGGGAGAGAAGGTCTGAAAGTAGTCAACTCCCTGCCGCTGACTGAAGCCACGAGCCACGTAACGCGCCTTGAAGACAGGCGGAGAACCCGGCGGCCGCTTCACCCTGAAAATCCACATGCCACTGACGATGTTCGCCCCAGGCGGGGGAACCTCGTCAACGTAGGTGCCTGTGGACTTCCAGGAAGCCATCTCTGCGTCCATAGCTGCCTGCCACTGAGAGGAGTAGGGACCCTCTATCGCCTCCGCGTAAGAGCGCGGAGTCGGGATGTCAAGTGCATCCGGGTCTCCCTCAGGGGTAAGCAGTACGGACACGAGATGAGGTGAAGCAGCAGCCAAACACTGGAACTCCTCCTGCCTGTCCTCAAGGACGTCCGTGCCAAGGGCACACTCACCCCCGACGGACGGAGGACAGACAGACTCAGACTCAGCAACAAGACTAGCAGCGTAGTCTAGACGACAGCGAGCAGCAAAGTCGACGAGCTCAGTAACTAGGGCAGACGCAGCAGTGGACTCAAAGGAAGGGTCAGTGACAACAGTAGCAAGGAGACGCGTGACAGTAGGACTGGCAGCACGAAGAGAGTCTGACTCCGGGTCAGGAAGAGCAGGAAGAGAGGACTCAGGAGGAGAAGGCAAAGGGGCACGCAGAGGAGCAGTGGACGGACGCAGAGACATCCGGTGCGTGCCAGGGACAGGAGGAGGACGCTGACGCGAACCACGAGCACTAGTGCGAGCAGCACGGACAGGCGACGCAGGGCGAGACGCAGGCTCACGACGCTCAGCAAGACCTCCAGTAGGACCAGTGTAGGGAGAAGGAGCGGGCAGTGGGGAGGCCGGCTGTAACTGTAACTGTGACGGGACAGGCTGTGGACACGCTAAGGGAGGAGGAGGACCAGTAGAAGGCGGGAGACCAAGAACCTGCTGAAGGAGCGGAACGAAGTACGGCCGAGGCCGCGCGGCGACTCCAGACACAGCAGGGACAGCACCAGTACCCCCAGCGGCAGCACCAGCGCCAGCAGCAACTCCAGCTCCAGTACCTCCAGCAGCACCAGTAGCACCCCCAGCAGGACCGCCTCCAGGACCGACAGCAGTAGCCTCAGCGCAAACACCCTCAGCAGCTCCAGCTCCAGTCGTACCCGCAGGCCCAGCAGCTCCAGTACTCCCAGGACGAGCACCTCCGGGACCCGCGGCACCAGCACCCTCAGCAGCCGAAGAACCTCCAGCTCCAGCAGCATGCCTCCAGCGCCGGGCAAACCACTCGCGCAGCTCCTGTGGAGAGAGTGGCTCCCGCCGAGACGAAGCACCCGGAGAACCT